GTATAACATTTCTCAACTTGTTCCACATGAGAGTTGCGTTCGTCTCGGCAGCAGGCCACTTACTTTCTAACACAGCCTGCAATTCATCAACAGGTGTCGATTCATTAAAACAGTTTAAAAATACATCGATCAGTAAGATATCCATTTCTACACTCCACATATTCTGCCGGTTATTACGTATTATATAATTACTGAAATAAATATTTATTCATAATAAACTAGCCGAGCGTAGAAATAAAAAAAAGCGGACTAGAAAGATGAGGTATGGTAAAAATCGGTAATTTACTTTACTTTGTGAATTTGAATCTGAAAACCTAATTATCAAATTTTTTATTTTCTCTAAATGCTTTTAAGTTTCATTTAAAGTTATTAGCTGTAATACACAAGATATATTTTTCATATTCGATGACGAGGAACCCACTTTGAGACTAATAATAGCTGGAGATGGCTTGAATGGGTAATGAAGAAAAACTTTAATATAAGTTCAACATAACAGCAAATGTACAACGTTTCGACAAGGTTTTGTCATCATCAGGTATGTTGAACTCATATTAAAGTATTTCTTTATTACCCATTCAAGCCATTATATATTTTTCATGTTGAATGTTGATATAATATCCACATAAATTCAGTTAATATACCAAATGCATCATCTACACAAGCAAAGAATAATTATTTCATATATTCATTTACCTACGTTATGTTAATGTATAAGCTATGACTCAATATAATGCTTGGGGACTTTAAGAAACACTTGTTTGAGCAGATACTTTGATAAGAACATTCTGCTGCAGACTATCATATATACAATTTTGTTGTACTCCTACAAGATGGCCTCTTGTTCTTCATATATAAGAAGAAGTATTTCCATTGTTAAGTAGGTCTTATCAGTTATGTGTTATCAGAGAGTGTCTTACTTTAGAAACTGAAGTGTCCTTGAAGATACGAAACTGGTATTTATACTGTTATTTATGTATGTTTTCATTTATTTGTTTTAAATAAATAATAATAAAGAGCTTTTTAAAATGTTTTAAACATATTTATGTTGTTATATTTTATCAATCACTTCCCTGAGTAAAATATATTTGGTTTCTAGTATAGTTATATGTGTTTAAAATTTTTAGATTGAAAAATAATCAAACAGTAACTGTTTCTACTTGTTGGAAGTAGTAGTGGTTATGTAGCAGTCCACATGGCTACACGTTGTATGACTGGTAGCCAATCACAAAGTTCAATGATCATATCAGAGTATTGTAAATAGGCTTAACATTACTTACTACATATTATTACATCAATCTGAATAAGAGACTTGTATCAGTTTACAGTGGTGTAGGTCGTGTAGTCAGTTTAGGTATACCACAAGTAATGTTGTTCTCTTGTGTAGCTAAGAGGCAGATGTAAAGTAGAAATAACAGACAAATGTATAAACTAAATATTTAACTCACCTTTTATTGAGCTAAAAATAAAATAATCATAATAAATAAAGCCACATTTTTTATGGAGATCTGTTTGGAAACCCTCATCTATCAGAGCACAAAAGATTGTGCAACACTTTGCAAGAAATACTGTCTTTGTTTTATGATATAAGACATGCACAAAAAAATATATCATAATACACTGTTAAGCCTAAATTAGAATGCACCTCACAAATAAAAAATATCATTGCAACATTAATTATTTTTTTATATAAAACTACAGGATTAGATTGTGTGGTCGTTCTAAAACATCAAAAGTTAAAATACTATTGATAAAGATTTGTAATCATGTACATAAACTGTGTGTTAGTTAACTACGTGTATATTAATAATAAAACATCAAGATAAAGAAAGGTAGTTTATCAAAGTTAAAATACTATTTATAAAGACTTTTATAATAGTGTACATAAATGTTGTGTTAGTTAACTACGTGTATATAAATAATATTTACTTTGTTGTAATATCCATAAGTAATAGCATTAGGCTGAACACCATTTCTCTTCATTTCAAACAGCACCCGCACTGCTAGGATTGGCTGTCCATATAGTCCACATAGTAACATCAAAACCCGATAGCAGACCTATCAGAATACATACTACATTTTAAATATTGTACTGGAGAAGTTTGTTATGCAAAGTGGCGATGTAAAACATATAAAAATATTTGGAAAATCAAGCAAGTTTTTAAAAAGAATTATCACAATATCTGACAGGAATTATCACAATATCCGACAGGAACTTCCGAGTAATGTAAATTTTTCTTTTAATAATTCTAATATCATAAATCAAACATATACAACTAATTCAAACACATTGCATTCATCACTCCAGCTTTTAAGAGAAATACACATATGTAAGTACTCCGAATTAGTGGATTGCACTGTTTAACTCCGATTACATCATGATAATCAACGTTTCTCCTTAAAGCAATTAAAGTTAACATTTTCCTAAACTTAAAATATATTCCCAATAATAATTACCTGACACTTATAGCTAGTATTCTACCACCAGGGTTTCTTCTTTGCCTATCTAACTATTGGTCTGATTTTTTCTCACTTGCTCCAGAGTTTTATACCTTACTTAATTCCCTTGGCGATATTTGTCTCATGATATTCTCCACCTAAATGCACCCTCTATCCTGGTACTGTATATAAGCACCTCATTCAGATAATTTTATCACTTTTTTTAAGACTGATACCATCCCATTATCTAACACCAGCTCTAAGTGGGGAGGATGGGCAGGAGAGTGTCAGCAGAGGTAAGTATTATTGGAAATTTTCAATTGAGAAAAATGTTAACTTCAAAAAACATACTTACCTCCTCTGACACTTATAGCTAGAATCCCACATTGAGAAGGTGGAAGGGCCAGTGAGGGCATTATGTATACAGAAAGCATCTGCATAGATCATGGGTGTACCAAAATAAGAGTGGTACATGAGTGGGGGAACTGCACTACATCGAGAACAGGTATTCTCTTCACCCTGAACTTAGTTCCTGTATCTAGGGTGAAATTTTACGTGAGTGACATCACTACAGGCCAGCCCAAACCAGATAGCCGAGGTTCCACTACTCGGGGTTCGAATTAAGGGGTCTTGGTCCCTATATACCCCGTTGGTGGTTAGGGCAATTGGACCACAACATTATATACAGATATACTTTTGATTGGATCCCAACCTGTAGCCATAGAGTGATGCATTCCAAACCACCAAAATTACAATGAGAAAATATGGAACACCAAAGCGGTCAAATTTTCTCCTCCTCCTGAAGAAGTCCGAAAGGCAACACCCCAGGCTCAGAATGACAGGATCATGTATGCCTTATTCAACCAAAGGAACAGAACTCATCTGATCTGGAATTACGAACACTCATCTCATTCTCCAACCCAGTGGGCAAGGAGCTTTCCACTTGGCCCCAGAATTATGGGGAAGACATGGAACAACTGTGCTCAACCAAGGACCCAGGATGGGACCACTCTGCATTTGGAATTATGAGGAGACAGTGGACCTCCTTCCACGAACAATATACTCAACTGATATTGATCAAAATGAAGGGCCATGCACACCCAAACCAGATAGCCAAGCTTCAAATCTGAAACAGTATTACGAGAAGACTGGTGCTGCTCCTACTGACATCTGGGGAAAAAACATCCAGGGACCTGAGTAGGAGGGCCTCCAACTTCGCCCTTTTGTCCAAGTGTGGAAGAATTCACTCTAACATTCTGGAGGAAAACCCTCTGTACACCACTCTAGTGACTAGAAATTGGGTGTGGTAAGGACTCCCTAGCTCCACTAGTAGAATCTGGAGGTAATGCATGTTGAGGAGCCCTGAGGAACAATGCTCTTGAAACAGTGCAATAGGTGAACCAAGTTCCCTAAATTTGTAAAAGCAAACAGACCCCAATTTATTCAATCTGATGATCGACAGAGATGGGCAGGATCCCTTTTAGCTTTTCTCATGATAGTCCATGAGTGGCATGGTATGGTAAGCTCCTAGGTGGTCTTATGGAACACTTCATTTCTACAGGGCCTGTTGCAACTTGTAGAAATGTTAGTGAAATAGTGGTTGCTAGCACAGAATTGGTTTGATAAAAGCACAACTGTTTGGGCAACACTTGCCACAGAGAGGGATCCTGTGAAAAGAAGGTAAGGGACCCTGAAATGTAGAAATAAATATACTCACCACTCTGAATAATCTAGCAGAAATAATTAAAATAGCTACAGGGGGTAGGCAAAAGCCCTCAAATGAAGAGACTACCAGATCAGGCAAAAATGAGAGATAATGGTATTGGGGGGAGGTCCACATACCAGTCTGCAAAGTGACTGCCAGCAAGCAATTCAACCAGGCTGCTAAAACCATAAAAAAGAGAAATCTGATTAAATGCAACACACAGAAGATACTTCACTTTCAAAGAGAGCTCACAATAAGGTGTTGTCTAGTAACTCTAAAGGTATAAGTGTGGGCAACAAAACCTTCAAGACCCTCACTGAATATGACCAAGATCGAAATCTGATTGGACATAGTGAGAAAGAGTAGCAGATGAATTGGAGAAAAAGATTCTTGTCTGACAGAGTGTTGGGTAAGAAGAACTGGTACGAGGAAGTAGAGAGAATAAGAAAGTGGTCTGTAGACAAACAGCATAAATCATAAAACCTGTAGGTAAAGGAGATACATGGCACATAAAAGTCAGGTCACAGTTAGGTAACTGGAATGATCATTTGGGACCAATTACCCAAAATGATGTGAGGAATCTGGAGAATACTGGGGACTTAAAATATGTGGTTGCGATAATCGAACAATAGTCAATAAGGCCACCATAAACAATGGTGATTGTGGAAGATGCAAAAACCTCTGTCATAGAGCCAAGTCAAAAAACGAGTTACAGTTGATACCACTGACTTAAAAGGGTTCAAAATCCTGCAAACAATATTGCCAGTATGCATGTTATTACCTATAAGAAACTAAGCCAGATGCATGTCAACCTTAGAAATTAAACTCCAATGCCGTGTGAAAGACAGCATAATCTCTGTGCCAGAAGCTATTGGTTCTGGACAGCTGGGTGCACCATATCCGATCATGGCTGCCTCCACACAGAGAGTCTAAAAAGAAATGGAAGAGTTGGACACACCAGAAGGGACAGCAGAACCAGAAACCCGGGTGTAGCCGCCAATCTGGTGTGATCAATAGGATTAGACAATAGGTTGGAAGAAATCATATTTCATACCCTGGCATAACATATGAAGAGAAGAGAAGGTTGAGAGTGGTAATCCGGTCCTGGCCAGATAGAAAGCATCTATTACCAAGGCCCAAAGGTAAGGTACTGGAGACCAAATTCCCAGTAGTTGGGTGATTCAATGAGAGGCTAATCCAGCAATTACAGTTGCTAAATGAGAGGCAATCTAATTTAAAGTTAAGATGCAACATCTATTCTGTTTGCATTGAAACAATAGACCTGCTACCACAGGCATCACCCATGGAACATAGCAAGCTAGGGTGATAAGACAAGACCTGTCCCAAGAAAGGAGGTCCAAAAGTCGAAAATAAGGAGCCCTAGACCACATGCCTCCTTGATGAGAAGCATACGACACCACCACAGAATAGTCAGAGTGAAGCCTGATGATTTACTCCTTAAAGAGCCCAGACCATGAGACCTTGCCTGTTGAAAAACATGAAGAACAAAAAAATTGTGTAGGGAATCCTCGTCATCCATGCATACTCTGTAATTCCTAACTGTTGGTATGTGTACCCCATCCCTGAAGCAAGACATTCATGAAGAGAATGGAACTCTGGATGAGGCTACAGTAGAGGAACCCAATTTGTATTAGCATCCTGACTTAACCCCTCGAAATCGAAGAATGATCCTGACTAAGGAAACTGAGGAAACCAGTTTATTGGTCTCCTTTTCATTTTTCATAGGTCATTTAAAGACCATGGTAAAATAAGCTGTTTTGTTAGAGCAAAGCAACTGTAGGCCATCTGCCACGTCCATCCTAGGGAATCTAACCCTGGTCCTTAAACTTACCACTGACCCACAGGAGGGTTGAAAATCCAACAGACTAAAAATAAGTCTCTCCAAAAATGCACCCTTAAGTGCAGCCTCAGAGCCCCTCGGAAGACCACCACAGATTCAAATATATGTCTCCATCTCACTACGAATAAGGTCACTGACAGTCTCGACCGAGAGTGACTCCCCCCCAACTGTTGTGCAATGCTAGATATCAGAGGTGGGAAAGGAGAGACCCAATTAGACTCCATGCCAGAAATAACAATAATCAGGGAATTCATACCATAATCAGCTTAACAATTGGAAGAAATGAATAAAAAAATTTTTAATTATTATTATTATCTTGTTACAAAATCAACTAGAGAACACGATAACATTCAAATTATCTCTGACCAATACTGGGAAACACGTTAGTGGACACTTTGTCGAGAAAAAGTGATAAAATTATCTGAATGAGATGCTTATATACAGTACCAGGATAAAAAGCACATTGATGTACGTAGAGAGTGTCATGAGACAAATATCGCCAAGGGCAATTAAATGGAGTATAAAAGAATGGGGCAAGCGAGAAAAAATCTGACTGATGCTTAGATGGGCAAAAAAAAACCCTGACACTTGAGTAATAGCTGTAAATAATAGCACTGGTGCTATTATCCTACACAAAACGTTTCTTTCCATAAAGTAAGATACTTAAAAATCAATGTATGATTTTACAAACTAAAATATTTATGTTTTCCCTACTAATAGCTCCCACACAATCTACTTTCTGGGTCATACTCAGTAAAGATTTTATGCAAACTTAGCTGAAATCTAGAAAGCATGAAAAACAGATGAGTTTGGATACTCTTATGTCATTCCAGATTACAATTATTACAACATATCTTAAATACTTGGATAACACTCACACCTTTTCTGTTCCTACATGTTAAATACTTGGATAACTGTGACACCTTTTCTCTTGCTACATGTTAAACACTTGGATAACACTGACACCTTTTCTCTTGCTACATGTTAAATACTTGGATAACAGTGACACCTTTTCTCTTGCTACATGTTAAATACTTGGATAACAGTGACACCTTTTCTCTTGCTACATGTTAAATACTTGGATAACACTCACACCTTTTCTCTTGCTACATGTTAAACACTTGGATAACACTGACACCTTTTCTCTTGCTACATGTTAAATACTTGGAAAAAACTCTCTTAATTTTCTAAAAATTGAATCTGCAAATAAATATAATTCAATAACAAACTATTTATTGTTCATCAAACCACACTGATGATTCCAGTCTTTGCCATTTATAAGTTTTATTGCTAAACAATGAGTCATTATTTACTACACATGAAAGTGTAGAACTTTGAAATGAATTATTTCTACATCATCTAAGTAATCAGGGCTATAACATCTTTACTCTAAACCACTGTCAATATGTGACAAGTTCATGGTAGAGGTCAAACTCAATATCCTGATACACACTCTTCCCCACAAGTATAACTTACTTCATCAGCAGGTTGAAGTTTGATGGACTGCATGCGCAGCAACACATCATACGCTGTTCTGAGGGACTTGGCCTTCATTTGGGAGCATTTAGTGTAAGCAGGGAGATGAATATACCATAAGCTGTAACAATTACTGACCAAACATCTGGAAGAGAAGATTGTACTTAAAAAACATTAAACTTGAGAAAGAATAGTTAGTGACCAAACATCTGGAGGAGAAGATTGTACTTAAAAAACATTAAACTTGAGAAAGAATAGTTAGTGACCAAACATCTGGAAGAGATGATTGTACTTAAAAACATTAAACTTGAGAAAGAATAGTTAGTGACCAAACATCTGGAGGAGAAGATTGTACTTAAAAAACATTAAACTTGAGAAAGAATAGTTAGTGACCAAACATCTGGAGGAGAAGATTGTACTTAAAAAACATTAAACTTGAGAAAGAATAGTTAGTGACCAAACATCTGGAGGAGAAGAATGTACTTACAAAACATTAAACTTGAGAAAGAATAGTGACTGACCAAACATCTGGAGGAGAAGATTGTACTTAAAAAACATTAAACTACAGAAAGAAAAATTGGTGACCAAACATCTAGAAGAAAAGATTGTACTTACAAAACATTAAACAGAGAAAGAATAGTTAGTGACCAAACATCTGGAAGAGAAGAATGTACTTACAAAACATTAAACTAGAGAAAGAATAGTTAGTGACCAAACATCTGGAAGAGAAGAATGTACTTACAAAACATTAAACTAGAGAAAGAATAGTTAGTGACCAAACATCTGGAAGAGAAGAATGTACTTACAAAACATTAAACTAGAGAAAGAATAGTTAGTGACCAAACATCTGGAAG